TAGGGTAATTTAGTGTAGGGTAATTTAGACTAGACTTAGTGGCTAGTAACCCTGATATTTGCAAACAGCTTGCTACGTTAATTTCTAAAGAAAACAAGAATGAAAATGTTGTTCTGCTTAGCCAATTCCCTTTGAAGTATTTGGTTGGCCAATAGGAATGTTGGTCTGGATTGGCCTTTGATCTGAACTCTTCTTGGACTCCCCCCGCCCTGTTCTTCCATACTGTGTTTAGAATAGAATAGAATTCTTTATTGGCCAAGTGTGATTGGACACACAAGGAATTTGTCCCCAGTGCATAAGCTCTGACGTACATACAAGAAACAAGTGATAAGTCATGATTATAATCATCATAAAATACATTAATCAAAAATCATAATATGCAAAACTGTGATAGTCATAGGATACTAAATAAGCAATCAACATAAAGCATACTAGGAAAATAAATGAAAAAATATAAATTGTAAGATACAAGCAACAAAGCTATAGTCATAAGAGGATAAGGAAATAGGTAATAGGAAAGATGGAGAAGTTTAATAGTAATACAGCCCTCCTAGAGGGTTTGACGGTGTTGTAGGAGTTGTTTAGCAGAGTCATGGCATGGGGGAAAATTGTTCTTGTGTCGAGTTGTTTTGGCGTGCAATCCCCTAGAGCATCATCTTGAAGGAAAAAGTTGAAAACAGTTTATGTCCAGGATGTGAGGAGTCTGTAGGTATTTTCACAGATTTATTCCAAATTCCCAGTCATGTCAAGTTGCTTGTCAATCAATCCTTGCAGTATGTGTAATGTCCAAGAATGCATGTCTGCTTAGAAACAGCTTCTAAATATTGTGTGATTTCTTATTGCATTTTGATTTTTTTTATCTGGGAAAATGGAATTGTAATTTCTCTTCCGCATGAATTCAAGATGTCTTAAGGTCACAGTGACAAGACTTAGTCTAACATAAGAGCGGAATTCTGCGTCATAGGATAGTCTGTATTCTGAATATAGAAACCACAAACAATATCCCTAAGTTTCTTGGGGATAAAAACTATACAACAGACAGGAAGTAACAGGTGAAGCTAGGCAAAATCTCATCAGATACTTGTACAATTAGCAGAGGAGCCCCCTAAGGCTGTGTGCTCCCTCTCCACTTCTCTCTCTATACCAATGACTGCATCTCAAACGATCCATCTGTTAAACTACTGAAGTTTGCAGATGGTACTACAGTGATTGGTCTCATTCGAGACAACGATGAAACTGCATACAGACAGGAGGTTGAACAACTAGCCTCGTGGTACGACCGGAACAATCTGGAACTGAACACACTCAAAACCATAGAAATGGCATTAGACTTTAGGAGAACCCCTCCCATACTACCACCTCTTACAATACTAGACAACACAGTATCAACAGTAGAGATCTTCAAATCTCTTAAGTTCTATCATATCAAGACCTAAAATGGACACCTAACATCAAAAACATCATCAAAAAAGCACAAGAATGTTCTTCCTGCACCAACTCAGGAAGCTCAAACTGCTCAGGGAGTTGCTGATACAGTTCTACAGATGAATTATTGACTCTGTCATCTGCATCGATATAACTGTCTTGTTTGGTTCTGCATCCCAACAAAACAGACACAGACTTATGAGAATAATTAGAACTGCAGAAAAAACAATTACTACCTGTACACTGCACAAGTCAAAAAGAGGGCTATGAAAATAGTTACAGACCCCTCACATCCTGGACATAAATTGTTTCAACTCCTACCTTTAAAACGACACTATAGACTACTGCACACCAAGACAATTAGACACCGGAACAGTTTTCCCCCCAAACACCATCACTCTGCTAAATAAATAATTCCCTCAACACTGTTAAACTATTCACAAAGGCTGCATTACTATTACTATTAGTCCTCTCATTGCTCCTATCACCCATCTCCTCCCACTTATGACTGCAGGACTAACTGTTGCTTGTATCCTTATGATTTATATTGATATTGATTGTTTCCTGATTGCTTAT